ACTAGTACTGTCTGTTGTATGTCCATGTAACTACTTTGCAGGGTGTGGATGGATCTTCACCAAAGTTGGTATGGAGGTTCATTAGGTCCATGGAGAGATACATACAAATTTTCAGTTTTGCGGTTTTTTATAGACGTTTTTTACAGTTTTTCAGTTTTGCGGTTTTTACCACTACTCTGCCCCCCTGTGGATGCATCTTCACCACATACATACAAACTTGCGGTCTCATATTTTGTAATTATTATTGCCGTTTTTGCGGGTTTTTTAACAATTACATATAAGAGATGCAAGTTTTCATGTTTTAAGATAACTTTTGATTAATCAAGATTTTACATAAATTACCTCCAGGGGACGGGTAGTAAGTTAATAAAGTTGTTTAAAAAGTAATTTGTCTGAATCTGACATAATTAATGATAAGCAAAAGCTCTCAATACAAGTGAAAATGTATAAAATCCTTTTTTTTTTGTAAGACTAACATTATAAGTATTTTTCCTATCATAAAACGCCCCCCAGTGGCACAGCGGCATGTCTGCGGACTTACGTGCTAGAAACCGGGTTTCGATATCCATAAAGGCAGAGCACAGATAGCCCATTGTGTAGCTTTGTGCTTAACGTCAAATAACAACAATAACAGCTGTGCTGTGCCCACCTCGGGTATCGAAATCCAAATTTTGTCATTATAAGCCCTCAGACTTACCGCTGAACCACTGGGTGATAGTCCTTACGATTCATTTATTTGTTGTTAAGCATAAAGCTACACATTGAGCTATGTGTGCTGTATCCACCATGGGTATCGAAACCCGATTTTTAGCGCCATAACCCTCAGACTTACCGCTGAGCTACTGGGAAGCTATCCCGTCGGCAGCACTGGAACGTATTCTTATCTGACAGCGTATACTTTGTTGTATACGTCTGTCCACTGTGGAATGAGTCTATAAAACCGTCAGTATTAGGAGAGTAAAGCTATTTTTCATCCTTACCCTAGTCAATATTCTAAATTACTAATACAATATTGATAAAAATTAAACTTTATTAACTTAATCTAGTTCACAGCATAGCTTTATTAACTTAATATAGTTCACACCATAACTTAATCTAGTTCACACCATAACTTTATTAACTTAATATAGTTCACACCATGACTTTATTAAGTTAATATAGTTCACACCATAACTTTATTAACTTAATATAGTTCACACCATGACTTTATTAACTTAATATAGTTCACACCATCACTTTATTAACTTAATATAGTTCACACCATAACTTTATTAACTTGATCTACTTCACACCATAACAGTTGTTATTCACGCAGCCTGGGAATATATAGAAGTGGCGTCACAACCACTACCGTGACCGTGTCAGTCGAGTCTCAGGCGGCCTGGTTAGACCTAGTATTAGGCGAAAGACCTCATCGGCACTGGGTATATCGGATATAGTTTGCTTTCTATTACCTCTTCTTAGAAGTTCCCCCAATTCCCACATACACAAGTTGAGGGGTGGGGGGTCAGAATAAAATGCAAAACACATTGAATAAGATCGACAGTTTTTGTAATGTTCAAACATATTTCGTACAAAAACTTACTGGAACTGATGTTTTCTTAACAAAGTACAGTGACAAATCTACAACATTCAACCGAAACCTATAACGTCCCCTAGCGATTTTTATTGCAGTTATTGGAGAACTATATTCGAGTTAGAAATACCAGAAGACTATACTTATGGGCCCGGCACGGCCAGGTGATTAGGGCGCTCGACTCGCAATCTGAGGGTCGCGGGTTCGAATCCGCGTCCCACCAAACATGCTCGCCCTTTCAGCCGTTGGGGCGTTATAATGTGACGGTCAATCCCACTATTCGTTGGTGAAAGAGTAGCCCAAGAGTTGGCGGTGGGTGGTGATGACTAGTTGCCTTCCCTCTAGTCTTACACTACTAAATTATGGACGGCTAGCGCAGATAGCCCTCGTGTAGCTTTGCGCGAAATTCAAAACAAACAAGACTATAGTTATTCTTACTGCTATTTCCTACAATTGATAACTGAGTATCGTCTAATTACAAGTAAAAATACGTTTCTTATTTTTTCAAAATACCAGGAAATCCTGGTACTTCTATTTTCACTACACAACCAATCAACGATGTGAAACTAAACCGATAATGTACCTTTAATACTTTAAATCAGCGTTCCTCAACCCTTTCAATACCAAGGATCGGCGCTCTGCCTACCTAAACCGCCATGAAACACTAAAACTCAAGTACAACGAAAACCATTACGATTTACACGTGGATATTCTGCCAGTTTTTTTTGACGCTGCTCTACAAGATTGGTAGCCATGACTCTAAGACAATCTCGTAGTTTCTCCTTGCCTGTGGTTTCTGATGATGGGGTAAAATTTAACAAAACAGTTGAACTCAGCGTCTTAACCAAAAAACAACATCAGTCCTTTTAGTGTTCTTTATTATTACTTCTTTATTTTTTCACTGACTTTAATTTGGCAAAGAAAGAAGGCAGCAAACAAACACACTAGTGTCTGCTATTGTCTGTAACCAGAATACTTTAATTTATAAATAGCCCTTCTAGTCACAAGAAAATCCTGTAAATAATGAATTGCTGAATGATAACATCCAGTTTTACTCTTAATAAATTACGAGCATGCGTACTTATTCACACACACACACACACACTCGTACTAGAAACCGCTATGTTAGGGAGGTCTGAAAATTTGGCTGTCTTCCATTTTTGTGGTAAATTATTAAGTAAGCAACAAGATTTTGTTAACGTGTGTTTTTTTATTTCTTGCGAGTCTGTTAAATCTAACATGAAACAATTCCTTATAGGCTTGACTCTTGGTAACCGGTAAACAATATTTTTTCTTCATCTATTTTAAACC